TTCTGCTGGTGCAGCTGATGCTGCTGGTAGCCATCGTGATGATTTTCTAGTACTACGTCTGTGGGATTTAACATAGTCGTTGGCTTTTCGGGTATGTCTAATGGGGTTTGAGTATGTTTATGTTTAATTTCTCGTATTTTTTTCGGTGTTGAATTGTTCGAAATTGCATATTTTTTTGTTGTTTTGTTTTTCGCAATGGGACTGCATGATGTTGCTGTTTTATAAAGTTCATTTTTCTTTAAGAGATTGCTGTTCATGCGTTTGAGATCAGCATTTTCACTGCAAAGTGCTTCCACTTCCGTATGAGCACTCTTCAATTCGAGAGTAAGTTCCTCAATCTGTTGTCTCAGTTTTTTTATTAGTTCATGTTGGGTAGTAGAATCCAAAGTTGAGAAATCAGGCAGACTAGTGCAACTATCTTCACTACATAAAAATGTTGAAACTGCACTTTGATTGCAGACTGTACTAGAGTCCAAGGACGCGCGTTTTCGACGAAATGTTATATTGTCGAGAAAGTTCATGATTTTTTCTCTTCCCAAAAAAAGTCTTCTTGATATTAAATTACTAATTAATTAATCTAATTATCGATTTTATTATCAATTCGGAACCTACAAGTAGCGCCCTCTTGTTTGTTATGATAAGTTTCTTTATAGCGCACTAACAGTTTAGTGGTAAGGTTAAGTTAATTTTGTTAGTCGCCACTAGTAGTTGTTACTTACTTCAGATTGACTTGGTAGCTCAATACTGTGTTGTATGTACTCGTATACTTTATAATCTAAAAACTTATAAAGAAATTTCAATTCTATTCCTCCCAAAAAATCTTCTTCATACTAAGATTCGAACTGCCGCCTTAGGATATCCAAAGCACAGCCATTATCTAACATGCCTCAGGATCAGTTAACGAGTGACATCAAAATTAAGTACTTCTTTCTACCAAATGTATTTTTTAAATCAGCTAATCAGTTAAAAGTGACTCATCGCTTAGGAATTTTTTTTTTCACATTCCTGTCACTCACTTCGCAATATAATGTTTGTCTATTTTGTCGAAATTGTCACTGTTGGTGCACTTTCATGTTCACTGAGAGGATTTTAGTGTATGAAGTAAAGTATTTAACACTGCTTTATACTATTTTTTTAATGTTTATTAACGTTTATTATCCTAAAAACGCTTGTTGTTTCTTCGGATCCTTTCCTAAGTGCACAAAGGCCTAAGTTAGACGCCAAGAGAAAGCAGAGCTTTTTTGCTGAAACTCTCGACTTAATTCAGTTTCAGGAAACTGAGTTTGAGTTCATAGATAAATCCAGCTAAGTTAAATACGAAATCGTCAAACTTCACAGTCATATGCGTGACAACTCTTATTTATGATAGTTTCAATACCTCTAGACAACGACAAATCAAGAGAAGTAACCAATAAATCTATATATATAAAAGAAAGTCGTGTTAGTTACACTATTTATAACTCAAGAACGGCTTTACCGATATGGCTGAAAATTGGTGAGGAGGTAGCTTAGAGCCAGGAGACGGACATAGGATACTATTTATTCCGTTCGACAGTGTTTTTTTTTTTTTTTGTTTTTTTACGAACTTTGCTTTACTCGGAGATGCCACGTTATTATACTTGGAATGCTTCATCGAAGAATTTTCAAAGACGGAAGCAAGGCGATGCGGTTCCTGGATATCCGGATGTGCGTTCTACTGATGCTCTTGGTCGTATGTATACAGTTCATCCAAAGAATGATGAATGTTTCTATTTGTGGTTGTTGCTGGTAAATGTGCGGGGGCCAACGTCATTTGAGACACTACGGACTTTTAATGGTGTAATATTCCCAACATATCGTGCTGCATGTGAAGAACTGAACTTATTAGAAAACGATACCCATTGGGATACGACAATCGCTGAAGCCATTATCTCTGCATCTCCAAGTCAGATACGCACATTATTCGCTATCATAATTTCGACATGCTTTCCATCAAACCCATGTAACCTGTGGCACAAATATAAGGATAATATGTCAGAAGATATTTTACATCAAATTCGTATCACTTCCAGAAATCACGATGTTGAGATGAATGAGGAGATACATAATCGTGCTTTACTCTTGATCGAAGACATGTGTTACCTCATGTGCGGTAGTTTATTAATCAGGTTAGGAATGCCAGCGCCCAATCGTGAAATGAATGACGCATTTAATCGAGAATTGGAACGGGAACGTGAATATGATCACCAGGAATTAGATTTAGTAGTTCAAACGAATGTACCCCTGTTGAATGCCCAACAAAAGGAAGTTTATGATACTTTAATGAAGGCAATCGATGATGGAAATGGTGGTTTTTCCCATGGTCAATTATATGTGGCATGTTCACGGGTCGGAAGACCATCTGCGTTGTTTGTTTTTGCGCCTGATAAGAAAACCAAAAATGTCGTGTATCGCAAGGTACTTAAGTGAAGAGCAACCTATGTACTGAAATGCAGAAACAATAATAAATGATTAATGTACTTCATTTTTTTTTCTAAGAAAAAAATTAACTTACTAAATTCGAAAATCGGCTTATTTATTGCCTTTAAGGCGGAACAGAGTTCGCCGGGTCAGCTAGTAAATAGATAATAATAACAACTTCACACATCTCCTCACACCCGGCCATCTGTACTGTGTTTCTGATCTTTGCTATAGTACTATGGTAACCAGACTGCTGATAAACATATGTACTTATATAATTTTAAATACACACATATTTTAGATAAATTACACATTTTCATGGAAAAATTACTTGCTCATTACACACCTATTTTCCTTGGTGGGAATCGAACCCACTACCTCTGGCTTAGCAGTCAGTGTCACTAACCACTAGAGCAACAGGGCTGTCACAATAATATAGTCACAGAATAGTGAATAAACTAGAAATGCGATGTAGGCGAGGCAGGCGCGCCGGATTTACGAGCAAATATGCATAAATCTCTGAAAACATTCGTACTCAGAGGGAATGTAGCGCCATAAAAAAATATCGCTATGCCGAGTTGTGCGGTAATTGCATGTAGAAAATAAAGCCATTACTGGAATTTGTCCAAAGGCAACGTATCATATCTAGGTCTAAACACTTTTATTTTTAAGTAATATTGACAAAGGATAGATAAAAATAAATAGATAGATATAAGATAGAAAACCGTTATGATCACCGAACAGGTTTTAATAGTACACTGCTGGAAATAGGCCTCTCCTTAGACAGGAGGTTTCGGCCTACTATACCACGCTTGTCCAGACGGGTTGGTATAGGGTTTGTATTAAGTTTTCCTTCTCTTTGCTGTTGTCCTGCGTAGTTTGTACCGCTAACGCTAACCTTATTTTAAAACTTTTAAGGTTGTATTTAGTAACATTATATGTGACGTTTAGGATTTACAAACAATAAATCCCGTGGGACGAATAAACCTAAACTTTTTATGTGTAGAAAATATTATTTATAGTTTATGTGTGCGTCTAGGCAACAAGAAAACTCTTCTGATCTACCGTTGATCGCACGTCTAATGTTTATTCACTGTTCTGTGAATATGGTCTTTCCCCTTTCACTTATTAAAAAAAAAAAGTATATTCAATAACAGTAGGTACCATTGCGTCGAATCAATGCCGAGTGTACTCTTTTGAATGTAAATCGGCTATATAAATAGCTAGTGACGTAGTAACAAGTATTAAAATTCAACTCGTACATGGTTATTTTGATCACTTCACATAATATCGAGGGCGTCCCTCGTCATATGAACTAATTCTGCAATTACTATTTACATAATGAATGCTTTGTTTTTCACTTGCCGAGAAATTGCGAAATAGTTTTTAATAAATATTGATTTGCTGAACTGTTTTTACAAAGTTCAATGTAAATCCAATGATTACTTTGGTAACGCTACTTTTATCTTTTTGTTCACTCAAAGTTAGGATCGAAGTGAAACGTTACACAATAGATATTACGGAGGAACTATGCCTAACCAAGCGAGTTTTGGTTACTAACTTGTATTCACTTTGTATTCTTAACACTGTCTTTCGGTACTTCTCTTGTACTCCCTTGCACCCAAAAGACCTTATACTGTTTTCTACTGAAAAGTAACTTAATAATACATAAACTCTCTCTATTAATCTCTCAGGTCTCATGTATCTATGTCTGGTACGCGAGTTTTTAATTCCACCTTAACTAGTAAAAACCATAACAGATTTGAATGTAGAGTATTGTTAGAAACCTTAATGTAATCCCAGCTAAACTTTTTAAAATAAAAATTGAGAATGTTGATTTTAATATAAAATAGATTTAAAAAAACAATAATTTACAAAATTATAACAAAAGAGTTTATTTTTTAAATATTTTTTTCAAAACAACAACGACACAACAATTACATGAACATATACTTAATTTTATTTCTCTTTTAAATCGTCAATTAGGGTAAGCGCAATGAGTTTTCTTCTTTTATTCTCCTCTATCACTCATCATCGCTGCTTACTTTATTATAACTGGATTGTGATCTGATGAGATAAATAAATATATTTTTATTGTTTACTTACACTTACTTCGCCTTCAGTAGTCTTGAAAACTATTTTTACCAACTTAGAAACTTTAATTCCTGTGGCTATCGACCGAAGGATGCTCTACCGGGCAGGCGCGAAGTAACCACAAAAACCAATTGAATACCCAAAGTAACATTTCATTATACTTAAGCTTAAGTACCCCACAAATCCTAAGTGTGGGCTGTAAAGAGGGCAGTCAAATATGCTTCTAATTGCCGAAGTTATATAACACGCCTATGAACGGTCAGCAGTTCGACATATTCGGCTACTGATGGTGTTCGTGTTGATACCTAATTGAGCATGCGCGGGTCCTGCCTAAGGAAAGTGAAACTGTTTGCTACTAACATAGACGTAATGCTTTGCAACAATATGAACTATATAATGACATGTAATCCATGTATTGATACACTTCACCGTTGACACTCAACGAGAGTTGTATTATCATATTCATAATGTCTTTCATAAGATTAGTGAGTATTACGAACTTCATGGTAGAAAATAATCCACAAAAGGGTGTTTTTACATTTGAACTAATAATAAATTATTCTTACAGGTCATTTCTCTCGCTGCCATCATAGCTAGTTCAAATGCTAGCGTTGGCCACATAGCACCTGTAGTTAGATCAGTACCTATAGTTAGGTACGCACCGTTCTACAACTTTCCCAATGGAGTGAGGTCCATACACGCAGTGGCTGCACCTGTCGCAGTTGCTCCAGGACCACAGGCAGTTTTACCAGCGCCAGCTATAGCGCGGTCTCCGTTTTTACAAGCCCCAGCTCCAGTCTTCCCGGCCCCAGCACCTGCTCCAATATTCGCTGCACCACCCCAATTTTTCCCTGGTCCTGCACCGGCTTTCCCAGGCCCAATACCAGCTTATCCAGCTCCTGCACCAATTTTCTCAGCGCCTGCACCAGTTTTCCCAGCTCCTGCTTTTCCTGCTCCTGTATTTGGGGCACCTGCTCCTATTTACCCAAGAATAGCCCCAGTCGCACCCGCTCCGGTCTTTGCTCGTGCTGTGCCGGCTTTACATTCTGCACCGTTCTCTCCAATTTTAAGACCAGTAGGTGCTCCCATAGCGGCTCCGCTATTTACACCTGCAGTGGCACCCGCCCCCGTGGCTAGACCCGTATCTTTAAGCATATCACCATTTGCTCCGGCACCTCTAGCACCCGCTCCTATTTTCAGACAGTATGCATGGAAGTAATTCTAGACTTTATTATAGTTGTATTATAGATTAGAAAAATTGTTAAATTAATCTAGTTAACTTTTTTACCAAGTTTTGTAAATAAATTATTTTTTATCAAAACAACAGTTTATTTTACCTCTCTAAGGTCTACGATGTACTAATCAACTAAGGGCAAATAAAAAGAGAGCCTTTGGTTTTGCCTACAAATATTTAAAATATTACTAAGTTTTTTAATGGGACTACAGAACTGAAAGTTTATAAAAAATTACTCTAGGCCGTGTGGAAACGGATTAAGAATACGGAGTGCTACCACCCCTTTTCATCTCGTGGGTGTCGTAAGACTAAGGCAGCAACAACGCCGGATAACAGCACTGCAAAGAGAAGCAAAACTTGAAACAAACCCTATACCAACCCGTCTGACTAACGTGGTGTAGAAGGCTACCTCCTTTCTAAAGAGAGGCCTATGTCCAGCCGTGAAATATTAAAGGCTATTAATAATGATGATGATCACCCTCTTTCTGGGTTAGTCGGGTAACAATACCCTATGTTGCACAATCTATTATGATACTTATTGATTTATTTATTTTTTATACATAAAATCGTAATATTATTAAGCTAATAAAAATATTTTGTACTTGATGTAACATCACTACATTAGTAAGTTATGTCACGTCACTAAGGCACGTAGCACTATGCACATACTTGGGTAGTCATTGCTCTGCTGTATGCGACACTGTAAAGTACCTAGTCAAAGTCTGTCTATGCAATACGTTAATTATATGATAAAATAATCAGTATATCATATAATCAGTCAAGAAGTGTTTATTTTATGTTGTTGTTGGGGCAGACGAGCAGACGGGTCACGTGATGGAAAGTGAGAATCGCCGCCCATGAACGTCTTTCTTGAAATTTCATATCGGTCCGGATAGGTCATATCGGTCCGGAAATACCGCAGACGATAACCCGTTCCACAGATTAGTTGTGCGGGGCCAAAAATGTCTCGAAAAGCGTACAGTAGTGAGTGATGAGGATGAAAATTTAGCCGTGTGGATCGAACAAACAGACGAAAGTTGCGATGCACTCTCCATGATATATGCAATAGAGATTGCAGAGTGAAGCCAAATCGCCACGCCGGTGTGTTAGAAAGACGAGAAGATCACCAGCTGAGCGACTCCGGCGAAAACCATATTGTCGGTCATTGAGTAGCTGGTGATAATCCAAGTACCGGAGGAGCTGGCAGTTGATTTTGGATTCCATAATCTTAGAGAAAAAAAAGGTTATGGCTATAGGCCTGTAGTTGGACGGGTCAGAGCGGTAACCTTTTTTAGGGATCGGGTGCACAAACGCTACCTTCCAGGAGTTCGGGACGAAGCCTTGGGACTGGAAGAGACGAAAAAGGCGCGTTAAAACCGGTGGCAACTCCGGAGCACACGTCTTCAACACGATAGGGAAGTTTCCATCGGGCCCACACGACTTATGAATATCGGGGGAAAAGAGTGCTTACGCGCTGATTTTTGTGTGAACCGAATATCCGGCATATAGCTCTTTACTAGCTTTCTTTTTACTAGCCTACCCATCAAACCAACCTACCCATCAAATTTTATGTAGTATCTGCGCTCGTTTAACGTCATGTACTGGTATGAAGATCCATATCAATTTCCTAACTATACACGATATAACTTTAAGTAAGAGTGCCACGACAGTCTTTGAGCGATAGGTATTTTACAGATCTTGTTGAATGTTTAAAAAGTTACAGTTTGGATAATAGGTCTTGTGGAAATACACACGTAAATGTTGTTCTTGAAAAGCTAACAAGAAACGGATTACTACAAAAACTATACATATTCTCATCAATGCATAAGTATCAGCAAAATGTAGTAATTAAATGCATTTTTACATATTTGTTATATCTAATGAGAAGTAGAAATAATTTAAAAAGCATTAAAATAATAATGACAAATCCCTTTCACTGCGAAGAAAGGAATGTGAAGAAGAAAAAAAAAAAAAAAAAAAGTATATTGAATATTATTTATTTTTCAAAAATTATAAAAATATAACTAATCTTTGATTCACATCTTTTCAAAAGGAGGGTCAGTCTTGTGTTCTTTTTAAACCTATCGAACGTACGCTGGGTAACCAAATGGGGCTGCTCGGATAAGAGGTGCGGCGGCACCATAAGCGTAAGGAGCTGCGTATGGGGCAGCTAATGGAGCAGGCAATACTTGACCGGGGCCAGCGAAGTACGGGGCGGCGGAGTATGGAGCATATTGGGCAGCAGCATATTGAGCAACTGGGTAGGGAGCAGCAGCATACGGAGCTGCTGCGTACGGAGCAGCTACTAGAGGGCTCAGAGCTCTATTCACCACGCTAACTTGCGATGCATATGGTGGGATGTTCTGTGGTACAGCATGAGCATATCCAACAGCTGCTGGAGCTACAAGAGGTGCCGCTGCAACTGCTGGAACCGCTACTCCGCTGCATTCAGCTTCAATGGTGAAAACCGCAGCAATTAGCACGATCTGTGTACAAAAAAAAAATTAAAAACTGCTGCATGACATCTGCATATGTATAATATTTAAATATACCTATTTATAAAAAAATACTTACAGATTTGAAAGAGAACATCTTGCTTGATTTGGTAGTGGACCTTCCTTAACGAAAAGAGGGTGTTGTGTGTGCCTATTGAGAAAAAGTATCGGCTTTATATACGTAGTTTATTGTAATTCAGATATCGTGCTACAAATTCAACATTTGATGTATTGCGGCCGGTCATTTGGGATTCGCAAGAGCGTGCATGGAGAAATGGAGCACATTGGGAAATATTTATATTGTGAAACTTTTTTCTTCGAATATCATGCAGTTTTACCGCATCGCTGTGTTCGTATTCTTTAATTTTGTAGAACGAACGGAGGTTTTGTTTCGTGAAGAAAATACTTATTGATCGTGGCTCAGAAACAATAGTTGTCTTAAATTTATTGCTTAAAGACTACCTTTTAGATTGTTGCACGTAAAGTTACACAGTGCTAATTCTCAAGTTATGATTCCTAATAAACAAGCAATGAATTATTATAAGCCCAAATGTCTAATGCCCGGTTTATAATCACTTCGGTTAACTGTTATTGTATTTCTAAATACACAAAAGATTCAGAAGTATACGACTATTAAACAGTCACAAACTGCTGAATTAATTGTTGTTTATTAAATGTTATGCTCATTTATAAATTAGTGTTTAGTGTTTTTTTTTACAATCGAATGTCGATGCTTGTCAGTTTTAAATAAAAGGCAAATACCTCTCCGCAGTTTTGATCCAACTTAGATGAAATATACTAAAAGATACATCCTCAATCAAGAATCAGTCCTGACATTTAATCTACCACAGCAATAATAAACTGGACTGTACAATGCATGCTCCTGTACATACGTGTTATAGTTTGATAAAAAACTACAATGTACTATACATGTCGTTGTAGGAGTAGCCATCAAACACCTAAGTTAGAAAATTACTCTGTCATACATACATGTGGTCTTATACATTTATACTCTAGGCCATAATTGATTTTTCTTTAGTCGCAAGAAATTGAAACTTAATAAAACTGACATTGTAACCTACATATTCAATAAATCAATAAGATTTCACCTTTCGTGTACACATCTGTATAATATTTATGTGTCAGCCAATAAAGTTTTCCTTTTGGCAGTTATATAACGTGCAGTGAAATTGGTGTGCACAGGGTTTAAATTAGAATGCTCAGCTTGTCAAACGCATGTGAGTCAAACATCAAGCGCTAGCCAACACGATGTCCTGCGCATTATTTAGCGTAGCATGCGATGTTCGCCAACGTTGCTCAACAGAATAAACAGTTACTATAAAAACTCACGACGCCCTGGAGACTGCACAGTCCATCGGATTTTTCAGTGTATACACTTGTGAGCAGTCACATAACTCAAGCAAAATGATCGCCAAATTCGTTGTGAGTTTCTTTTTTTTTGTATTACTGAATAATACAATACAATGTAAAAGTAATAAGTACAATAAATTTTGAGGGATTCTCTATTTACTCCATAAGAAAATGAACCATATAACCTACTGATTTTAAATCAGACATAGATTGATCTCCCAAAGGAAAACAAGCATTTACCTGTGACAGATAAAAAAACGTATTTAGCCCAATAGGAACAAAGTTTCTAAAATATTTCAACTAACCAGCCTCATCTAACCAGCCTACCATTACTAATCTCAAGAAGGAACTGTTCATAGTTTGTATGTCATTATTCTTTCTCGTGAGAAACTTTGAAAGTAGTTTAGTTTATATATAAATGTAAATGGCAATAAGTATAAATGACTTATATATAAGTACAAAAAAGTCAAGTAATGTATATTCTAATTCTTATTCTCTGTGTCCGTGGCACATGTAGGCAATCTTTACTATCAATTTAAACTTTTCTAAAGAAGTGCATTCCTCTATTAAGCAAATACGCTGATTTTTTTTAATAATTTTATAGGTTGTCTTCGCTCTAGCTGTAGCCGCCACTAATGCAGGAGTCATTGGAGCACCGGCTGCTCTGATTGCTCCCGCTGTCGCTCCTGCGGCCTACGTTGCACCGTACGCAAGCTCATACTCCGCGCACGCTATCAACCATGCTGTAGCTGCCCCTGTGGCCTCTGCTCCAATAGTCGCCGCCTCACCCTTCGCCGCTCCTTACGTAGCTGCACCCGCCGCCCCCCTCGTAGCTCCAGCCTCCCCCTACATAGCTGCCCGATACTTCTCAGCCCCTTACTTCCTATAAACGAATTTGGTGATATCATTGCCTAGTGACTTGCTCAAAAATGTACTGGTTTCCTAGTTTTTATAATATTTTAAAATGCGTAATGTAAATAATAATAAAATCAGTAATTTTACAAGGACTACCATTTATTTATTTTTTGAACCGTAATGTTGTATTAATCTAAATAGACGACTAAGATAAGGTTATAGTAAACTGAACTGTCCGTGTGGTGACGGATTAAGAATACATAGTGTCATCACCCCTATTCAACCCTTAGGTGTCGTAAGAGGCGACTACGGGAGCAAACTGCAGAGACGGGACAACAGTACTGCAGAGAAAAGGAAAACTTGATACAAACCAACCAATCTATAAAGCGTGGTATAGGAGGCCAGGTCCAGCAGTTTACTAATGTTGATGTGACGCAATGTTAAACTGAACTGATTTAATATGCGTTGATAAATATTCAACCCTTACGATATTTTACTCATATTGACTTTTGAAGTCAGAAACGTGTAATTACGATTTAAATACAAATAATGGACGTTTGAAAAATCCTTACAGTATGCGGGTATTGCTGACATTATCCAGTCACCCGAAAAAGTTTTCACCCTCATTGCCTGATTATATTAAATTAGATTTTGCTGTTTGTACCTTTTAGAATAAGGACACGGAATGTAGGTCCGACGACCCAAAACGGTAACAATATTATTCAGCAGGACGTGTTCGTAATAATATTTTAGGAGACCAACTCTATCGCTGGTTTTCGTCCTCAGAGTTTGTAGGAATCTCCTTGTTGAAATGACAGGCATTCGGATACAAGTAAGTAGGCAAACAAAGACACCGATGGGCTAAATTTAAGCAGCTAACGGTGAAACTTTGATTTCGTGTGAACACGTTAAAGGCCTTGTCCTGATTTAATTGCCAACTTATGTCTAATTTGAATTTTGTTTACTTTAGGTACTCGTATAATTACAGTCACTGGAAAATATACTTATTGATTAATGTTTTAGTGCTGTTTAGTGCTGAGATATAAAACAAATAAGTATATTTGCAACAATTATTTAATCTCCGGTATTTTGTTTTACTCGTGTATATGTGTAACAGAGGCTTCATTCTAGGTAATTCGTATATTTATAACATAACTTTAAGCTTATCTATAAAAATATATTAATAAGCCAGCCGAACCCAAGAAATGTGTGCAAAGCCCAAAAATATGTCTATCGATTCAAGAGCTTTGACGTAAATAGTAATGCAAACACCTTCACATGGCGTTATTAAAAATGAATGCGTTATTGAAAAACGCGTTGTATAAAGATATTCCTTTGAACGGTGGGCCCAGGACAAATATTGTGTGATGAGCACAAGCATTTGTTCCATGTCTGGGTGTAATGTTTCTATAATATGTATTATATGTGTACGTTTATCAGCAGATTGGTTACCATAGTATAGGCTCTGCCTAGTTTGGGACCAGACTGCCGTGTGTGAGATGTGTAAGGTTATTATTATTATATTTCCAAATAAATACCGTAATAACTACTGTTTCAGGAGAATACAGGATAGACAGGAAAACGGAGGTTAGAGAGCCCATTTACTTGATGGGGGCTATTTTTGTTTGCCTTTTCTGGTCAAAAGGCTCTACTCCTTGAAAACGGATTAGCTATCGGTATATAACTATTTTGCCAAATATTTAACAAAACAGATTTCTGTTATTGTGTGTGTTATCTATGACTTAAGAGTCAACATAAGAGATGAGTTCAAAAACAGAAAGTAAATCGCTGTCTTTATTTTATTCTGCATTTATCTTTTTTTTTATAAATAAGAAATGAAATATCATCTATGAAACCCACATTTCCCATATCACACAGAATATTGACTTGATAATATCTTAGATTTCTCCATAAAAACAATAGTTAAAAATCAATAATGTCGTGTCGTTTTAATAGTTTTAACATAATACCCATAATACCCCGTTTTTTGTGACATTCATAAACAATCTACAAAGACGAAGAGGTGATGATTATCTACCTTATTCGAAAAACCGAATGCAGATTGATTAGTTTCCAGGGTAGTATACTAACAATGTGTCTAGTCTGTGTGCATGTAAAATATTAATTTGGGTGTTCAATCTCGAGTTCTCACTACAGTCTTAAGACAAATCTAATGACACCTGAAACATTAGAATCCTTCAAGCCGTTTTGGAGCGTGCCAAAGAAATTCATACACTTACATACATTCAAATAACTTGACCCACCTATTGACGTAGTCGGGAAAAACGAAAACTGACTTTCCTATCTAAATAGATCCTTTACAAACAATGCAGATAGGCAATCGATTATAGGATTGGCAACAAGGAAAAAACACAGTGACACGACATTATTGATTTTTAGCACGTTGTTAATGCCAAATAGAGTTTGGCACCTTCTAGTAACTTTACTTGATAAGAATTATAAGTATATGTTATACGTAAATACTACTACTTCTACTTCTGGTCAATGTAACTTTATAGATAGATTGCAAAGCAGTTGGTTCGAGCGCATTTCATTACGTTTAGTATTCTTGCCACAATAAAGACATAATAATATTGTCATTCAACGTCGTAAATGCCAGACTCTTTAATAAATCTATACAAATAAATAAAATTGGAGTGTCTGTTTGTAATATTAAAATAACCGCTTTTTACTAAATGCATATGTATGTTTACATGGTACATATGCCAAAATATCATTTTTTACAATTTTTGTCTGTCTGTCTGTCTGTTTGTTCCTGATAATCTCTGGAGCGGCTGGACCGATTTCGACGTGACTTTCACTGGCAGATAGCTGATGACATAAGGAGTAACTTAGGCTACTTTTTTTAAACTAGCTTCGCCCCGCGGCGTTCCCCGCGGTAACACCGCGGGTCTGAGCTAGTTAATAATAATAACATCAATAATAATTTTTATTTGCTTGAAATACGGTACAGAAGGTGATACACAAATACAGGCACGTTATAAAAATATATTTTTTAAACTAGCTGGTACCCGCGACTTCGTTCGTGTGGAATTTGATAAGCGCTGCCTTAGTGGTTGGGTGGGTAATTTTAAAGGGTTTTTCAGAGAGGAGTAATACAGTACGTTACACCTTATATAGACAGGTACTTTGTAGTTAAATATTATTAACACCGGTACAGCCGTTAAAGACCCGGTACAGACAGACAGATAGACAAAAAAACTGGTTTTTAGGCATAGGTATCGTGCAAATAACCGTGTTAGCATGAAAAAACCTATTATTTTGACATTACAAACAGTCACTTCAATTTTATTCATTTAATCCTGCAATGTGGAGGAATTTAGTTACTCTAAATAGAAAGCTATATCTTAGATCAAATGATTTAGGAACATGGTACAGTGATCTGTGTATGGATTCCTATTTTTGGGGCAAACAAATCTTCATTAAACTTAAATTCCAGCAATATCTTTTTGTTATTAGCTTTCCACCTACTGAATAAACATTCTTTAATATGATTAATAAAACTTAAGATGTAAGAATAGAGGCAACTACACATGAGCTTATACACAAAGTTTCTGTAAAATAGTTGAAATATATTAGAAAATAAATAGTGTACTGTCCTACTATTTGATATTTATAGATCACAGATTATATGTACTCGTAGTTAATATTCTACAACACTAAAATATAAGCTAATTAAAAAGTTTCATTAAGTCTCACAATGTCGACGATTAAACTTAAAGTAGGCAACAAAATTACTCAAATTCAATTCGCCTCATTTAGAGCGCATTTTAGCATATCACTAGTATTAAAAAGAGCCCTAAACCAGTAATGATCTTACTTACTTAGATAATAAAGAAATAGAGTATGGACCAAATATATAAGGGGCTAATATATTTTTATTTATTTACACATCATGCACATTTGGTGCATTGGCGGACTTCCTAAGGCATTCTTTACTAGTCAACCATTGGGTGATGTAGAGAAAACGGGAAGTTACTGTATTTTAGTTACAGTTGATTTAGACACTTAATATTGTATGTATACTTTGTACAAAATCATGTAATATAATATATACACATATATAAAATTCTCATGTCACAATGTTACCACACTCCTCCAAAACGGTTGAACCGATTTTTATGAAATTTTGTGTGCACATCAGGTAGGTCTGAGAATCGGCCAACACATATTTTCAACCCCTAAATGACAAGCGTGACCAACGCCTAAATTTTTATTTTCAATATTTCCTAGAAATAATGTATATGGCAAAACAACGTTTGCCGGGTCAGCTACAAATCTTTCATATTCTACACCTATACATATTAATATTACAGATAAGTACATACCTTATAATACATAAATATAGTATAAAAGTATATAAATACATACATGCACGCGCAAATAAATACTGATAATTTTTTTGTATTAAAATAAAAAGAAATCATAAGCAAGTTGATTCTGCTAGTTGTTTGGCCAGATACTGCTTTACATTTACTTTAAAGGAAAAAGTATTAGAAATATAGCATCCTGATTTCAAGTGGAAGCGCATTCCTAAGAAGAACGGACTGAACGTAAAAGGATGAGCCAACGAATTCAGCCGTGTGGGAGGGACAACGAAGAAGAAGGTTATTGGAGGACCGAACTCTTCTGTCGTGATTACTACATATGAGTTGGAAGCAGGAAGCTAGATACGTTGGCGAAGATAGGTTATAGAATAGTGTAATATAGAATAGTGAATAAGACAGTGAGAGAGCGTAATTACATGACGTAGACGAAATGGTAACCAGTTAGGCTGCGAACGGAAAATTGACACATGATCATATTTACGGAGGTTAAAGATGTATCGAATGCAGTTATTAAGTAGACGGTCCAACTTATCGAGAATATCTGCGTGCAGGTCATAACAGCACATGTCACCATAGTCGATTATTGGGAAGAGAAGTGTTTGCACAAGCATGGTTTTGGTAGCGGTCGAAGAGTACCAGTAGCCCTCCGGCACAGATTTTCAATTTGATCATGCCAATTCAATCT